GGCCTGGGCGGGCGCCGGGACAAGGAGAGGCCGCCGCGGCCCCCGCGGGCCAGCACCTCCATGAAGCGGCTGCAGGCAGGGACAGAGCCTTTATTCTGCTCCCCGTGTTTTCAGCCCATCTTCCCGTCTCCTTGCGCTTCCAGGGGACGCGCCGGCAGTAAGGATGCGTGCTTGGGTTTGGCTGTTTCTGGTCCCTTTCTGCCTCTGCAAAAATCCACTTGCAGTTTTTACACCAGAAAAGAAGTGTGAATAATGAAGACTAGTTTCCAAATGCACCTCTAACCAGCTCATGCGTAATCCCTGCTCCAGTGATGTCTGGGCCAACCGCTTTTAATTTCACGCATACGCTAAAAGAAATCCTTGGGGAATGGCTTACAAGTCCTAGGCGCAAGACCTGAAACACATCATAGCGTTTCTATCAAAAAAAATCCAGCCATGGCTGTCTCAGCTCTTCTCTCGCTGAGGGAGATAACCCGAATTTCATGGAGCTTGCTGCAGGGCAGGCCTTAAAGACGGGTCTCTCCCCTCCCCGGCAGGACGGCCGAGAGCCCCGAGAAGTGCTGCAAGGAGCAAGCTCTGGCCCTCGCGGACATTCCCTCCCCGCAGGCTCCGAGGACCCCCCTGCAGCGGGGCGGGGGCCGTGGCGCTGTGAGGGGGGGTCGGCAGGGGCAGGGGCTGAGCCCGGGGAAGGGCTGCGGGACCCCTGCTGCAAACGCTGCTGCCGAGCTGAAATGAAATGCGGGCTGTTCCCCAATTCCCGCAGGCACACAGACGCTGTCGCTCACACGTTTCCAGGCACCAGCTCCCAGGATGAAGGGACCAACGTAAGAGAGTCACGGCGAAAGCACGGCCCGTGGCGCGCCGGGCCAGGTGCCAGCCGGGAGCAGTATTGGGGTTTTACCCACGGCAGACCAAGCGCCGTGCGTCCCTCTGCCCGCACTCGGGACCTGCGTCTCGCCACGCTCCGGGATGCAATGCATGGGCAGAAAACTGCAGGGTGCCTGCTCAGGATTCATTAGGACTCAGGCAGGTATAAAGAGCCTTTCCCTTGCCAGGGGACCCCCCTTATGGCATCCTATGGGGAGAAAATGAAACGTTTTCTGAAGCAGGCGGCCCTCCATCACACAGCCTCTGTCATCTGCTCGTCACCTCCCCGGTGCAGCCCACCCGTGTTGCAGCCGTGCCGGGCTGCGCAGCGAGCACCCTGCCCGCCTGCTTCTCTTCCCGCTCTGATGCGATGCCCGTGCAGGCTGCAAAGCCTGGAAGATGAGAAACAGCCGAATTCCCTTTCTGCTGCGGGGCACACCTCTGCCGGGCGCCCCGCAATGCTGCCCGGCCAAGGCAGCCCAAGCCTCGGTGCGAAGGAAAGGAGATCCGGGACGCGGGGCAACGCTGTCGGGAACGTGGCCGGCAAAGCCCATTTCTTCTGCAGAGGTCTGACCCTGCCGCCCCCCTCGTGCCGCCGGGCAGCCAGCGAGGAGGAGGGTGGGCCTGGGAGGAAGGGCTGGGGTGTCCTGGCGTTTGCTATCCACAATAACCCACCCGAGGCTTTTCCTCCCCGTGCCATGAAAGCCCCCAGCAAATGCTCTGGCAGAACTCCCAGCCTTTACGGCAGCCATGGGCCCCCGAGCAACACAAACGTGAGGGAGAGGGGAGCACGGAACGCTCAGCACGGCCGGCGCTTCCCTCGCTGGGTCAAAGCAAAGCAAAGCAGACAAGAAAAGGCGTCACGGGGCCAATGGCACGGGGTGAGGAAGGGAGAGTTTCCCGAGTCAGCAGGCAGGGCGTGATCTGCAAACAGCCCGGCCGCCCCCCCGCTCCCCGCCGCAGGAGCCAGCGGAGCAGCAGAGGTTGGTTTGCCGATGAGCCAGGTGGAAGCCCTCACGACTGCAGGTTTGAAACACAGCAAAAGGGGGAGATGCGGCTTCATCCTAGGGCGTATCTAAAAGCTAGCTGTTTCAACCAGCCTGAGTCAGGTAGAAAACAAAGAGACGTCTGCCTCGAGCACCTACGCAGGTTTAAAAGGCTGCACTTCACCTCTCCACCTGAAATAAAGGAGCAGAGAGAAGCAATAAAGGCAAAGTAAGGAGCGCTGGAGCCAGGCAGGCCACCCGCCTCGGTTCATGGGAGAACAGACGCACACGGGCGGCAGGAGGCAGCAGGTTTTCCACAGGGCAATGCATTGCTGCAACAGGGCTAAAGAAGGGAAGAGTGCTCGGTGTAAGCGAGCCGTGCCCTTGCCGCGGCAGGGCTGCCGGGAGAGCCGGGAGGGGGTCGCAGCTCCTCACCGGCCTGGGGCATCCCCAGACTCAGCGTGTCTGTTGAGTCGGGTCAGTCTGTCTGAGGAGGATTTGTCCCTGGATGCACTTTTTTGCGCTTTCTCCCATCTCACAAGCTTGTGCAGTTTGCTTTTAAGCTTTCCCGGATGGTTCAACCTGTGGGTGCAGAGGGACCATCGGCCACCTCCGCCCAGGGACAGCACAGACTTGCACAGCTACAAGCCTGCGAGACCAAGGAGGGTAATATATTTTACTCTGTCTACAATGCTAGTGATGACAGGAGCAGCCAGCACCAAGTATAAAAAATGGCAAATCAGTGACACCATGTCCTTTAGGAAAAGCCTTTGCTCATAAATCAGGGGCTTTCCACAGGAACTGTGCTCCCATCAGAGATAAAATAACAGCTGCTGGGTCCCGGGGAGGATGGAAACAGGAGGAGAGGAGAGGGAAAAGAGGGCAAAAGAGTAGAAAGTGAAGAAGTCAGTGAGGACAAAATGATACAGCAAAAGAAAAGAAGTCAGGCACTAACGCTGCGCAGCTTTCTCCTGCGGCCGCCCCAGCCCCAGGCACCGGCAGGGACTGAGCTCCCACACAGCCCTCGGCACCCCCCAGCACCCGGGGTGGGCAATCAAAGCACCGGAGACCCTGGAGAGGCCCCAGGAGGGCTGAGCTCGCACTCCTGGTGACAGTGAAAACCTCCTGAGCCACCATCCACACAGCCCGACCCCCGTGTTGCGGTGGCCCTGAATTTGCTGGGGGCTAAGGTAGCCCTCGCCTGCACCAGGGAAGCTCCGGCACAGCCACTGCTGCCTGTTGGGTGGTTTTTCCATGTTCGGGACCTTCTCCTGTCTCCCTCCCGGCCCCCCGAGACCCGGCTCGGAACAGTTTCTGGCTGTCGCTCGCAGCCCCCGAGTCCGCTGTCGGCGTCCCTGCGGCCGCTGAGCTAGGCAGTCCATGCAAACGTAGGGCTACGGGAGGGGAGAGGACGTACCTTCCTGCGGAGCATTTGTGTCCCACACAGACCACATCTGCACAAAGAAAAAGGGAGTCCAGCACACTATGAAAGCTAACACTATGATGAAGGTCATTTTGACTGTCCGGATCTTGGCTTTGGAGATGAGCCTGGTGCTGCTGACCCTGGCAAATGCCACCCCGCCGCGGGAGCCGGAGCTCAGACCCACGTTGGGCCCGTGAGCCGTCTTCAGCTTCACATTCTGCCAGATTTTGAAGCTGATTAAGCCATAGCAGATGCTCAGCATCAACACAGGGATGATGTAGACCATGAGGGTTATCCAGGTGACATAGGCTTTAGGTCCCCAGGGCTGGATGAAGTCAGCCCAACAGTCGTAAACCCCATTCCCCACATCCCTCAGAGAAAATATGTGGATCTGAGGGATGCTGACCAGCAGGCACAGCAGCCAGGTGAGGAGGACAGAGACCCGGTCCGCTCTCCTGTGCAGGGACCTCAGCGGCTGACAGATGGCCAAGCACCGGTCCAGGGACATCAGCAAGAGCATGTAGGTGGAAGCAAACATCCCCACTACCTGCAAGTACTTGATCAACCGGCAAAGGAAATCTGGCCCATAAAACCTGAAGGTGATGTCCCAGATGAGCTGGGGCAGCACCTGGAAGATGGCCACGACCAGGTCAGCGATGCTCAAGTGCTTCATGAAGAAGTACATGCGGGAGTGCTTCTGCCGGGTGGTGTGGATGGCCAGCAGCACGCACAGGTTGCCGGTCAGGGCGAGGAAGAGGATGAGGCAGAGGACGGTCACCTCCACCTTGGCCATGTCCTCGTTCCTCTTCAGGGGGTCCGTGGTGCTGTTCCTCCCGGCGCTCTGGTTCTCCAGGCGGAGGCTGCCGTTCCCCAGAGAGCTGTTGACGGTCCACA